GAGAGAGAGAGAGAGAGAGAGAGAGAGAGAGAGAGAGAGAGAGAGAGGGGGGGGGGCGAGGGGAAAATTGTGGACTTTTGGCTTTGGAAACTTCATACTATGTTGCAGCAATCACAAAAACTCACAATCATCTTTTGTCTTCTGGCAACCATATCGCTTTTTCGCCCATAGGTATGTCTGCAGGCATGCGTGTGTCGTGAGTTCATTACATTGCTGTCGTTCCCCAAATGGAGTGCAACGCATGGGCATTATTATGGTTATAACTAGGGTGAAAGTTGCCCCAAATACGGTTGTCATTACTGTGCTTTCTATCCAGTGGAAGATGGCCGCATTTGCCCAGGGGCATGATGCTTGCATCATCAATTAGCGAGGGGTGTCCGAGCAGGGTTCGAACCCAGCATCCATCTAGTGCAACTCAGGCACTCGACCTCTTGAGCTAACCCCCTGGACAAATATGACAATTCTTAWAATKGTTATTGATTATTGAAAWTTGWTCTGGTTYATCTCTCTCTCTCTCTCTCTCTCTCTCTCTCTCTCTCTCTCTCTCTCTCTCTCTCTCTCTCTCTSTSTSTCYCACTTGACAATTCTGGGGTCCTTTCTGGAGTTGCCGTGATCTTGTCCGCCATACGTAAGTGTTGGGTTCATTGCAATTATAGGAGGCATGCTTTTATTAAAGGTGTCGAAAGCAGAGGAAATGCAGAACAGCCGCAAAAAACCTTCACATAGACTCACCGCGTATCTCACGGGTCCCTGAGCATTGTGCTGGTTGTTCTGCGTTTCCTATGGTTTGTAATTTTTTGGAAGTTTTCCTGACATAATTTTTCGCTTGCCCTGTGCTTCTTGTTTCCTTTTTTCCGCGCTGCCTTTACTGTTGCCTGAACTTGTCAGGGAGACCCTCTCTGGAGACTCTATTGGAGCCTTGCATTATCTGTCCCTCACAACAACTCTTATCCTCCATGTGTCCGTCATCAGTGCTGGGATTTCGGCATTTCACGGCCCTCGCACGGGCCGAGGCCATCACCATGGGTAAATCATGCCTCTCCCTCGTCGACAATCTCCCTTCCTGTCCTGTTTCTGCCTGTCTCTGCCTGTTTCTGCTTGTCTCTGCTTGTCTCTGCCTGCTTCTGCCTGCTTCTGCCTGCCTCTGGCTGTTTTTGTCTGTTTCTGCCGCTGTTTGTGTGTGTGCCCATTTACCTCTCCAGATGAACCTACACCCCTATTCATTTTATCCATGCATTCTAGCTCTGTGGTTTGGTCTACCAGTCTTGCCATTTTTGCGAAAATCATGTCGATAGTTCCCTGAGTTTTAAGGGTATATCATTCTCATGGAATGACTTTTCCTCTTTGGTAGAGTCTACACTTTCCTCGCTTCCTTTGTTTCTGGAAATGCTAGGATTGGGGGATTAGGTGGGTGGGAAGGTGGTATGTTGGCGGAAAGGGGGGTGGGAAGGTGGTATGTTGGCGGACTTGGATCTAGTGCAGTGTGTTTCAACAAAGCTCCTCGAAGGTGCCTACGAGGCAGTAGTCGAAACGTTTTGGAGTTACCACATTGGCACTCCTATCACTTTGGAAGGAGTTTTTGAGTTTTGGATATGATTTTGTATTCCGATCTATGTGTGCGGCGAGTTGGTGAGCTTGATGAAGTTTACTTACGCTGCTTTCTCCTAATGCGAGGATCCAGGCCTGGGAAGGCCTCCACTGACGCACTAGGACGCTTAGGCATCACACCCCAGCCCACTTGACATCCCAGACCAAATGACTTGGACCACAGAGAACAGGCGCTAAGATACTTAGGCATCATGGTCAACAAGTAAGGCACTTGGCCGGGCATGGGACAAAATCTGACAGCCATGGCCATGGCACGACTAGCCCCCTTTAGAAATGCACATGCCTCTCTGATCAGTAGAGCCATGATCATGAACACATCCATTTTTCCTACATTGTGGTATCTTTCCTCTACATGGTCCTCGCCCAATGATCTGCTGAAACCCCTAACACAATGAGTGAGATGCTTCCTATGGACAGGCAACCCAAACAAAGGGACATGCATTTCAAAGGTGGCATGGGTCCTATGTAACGAGGGGAAACCAGGGAGGAGGACTAGGGCTGCTTGACACGAAAGGAGAAGCGATAGCACTATGAATGAAATGGGCGATCAAGATCCTCCTTAAACCTCACCTCTTGTGGGTGAACATGGCTCTCGACAGCAATAGAAGGTAGCGCCAATCCAGACCCCACCTAACGTGGAAGGTTCCTTCTGGGTAATGGCCTAGGATCGGTCAATCAAAAACACACAAGGAAAAAGGCGACTGAGGAACAAATAGTCAGCGTAATTCCCCAACTCCAATCCCACACTGGACGTCCCTTCTTAAACCACCAGTACTTCCTAGAGTCCTGCCTGTTAACGCGCCACAATTTTAGGAAACGTACTGGCTACTACAGGAGCGCCCAAATTCATCCAACTAGAAACGTTTCTACTCTTTTTTTTCCGCGGCCGATAGCTGGGCCAAGTACTGGTGGTTTACACGGCCCCAGCCTTCCATAGGCGGCCTTTGTCGCATTTGGGCTTCTGAAAGGGGCCCGCGGGGGATGTATGGCGTGTACTGGTGGTTTAAGAATCGGCGTTGCGCAAAGAGAATTGCAACACCACAGAACAAAAGATGAGGTTTGAGACAACCCCTTTTCTGTAACCCCTCGTTGATCTTAAATGAAACAGGCAATCCTGGTCACTCAGAAAACAGCAGACAGGAGATGGCTCTTGCACATCAAAAAAGGAGTGTAGAAAATACAACACATACGATCAGGAGAGAACAAGAGACGCCTCACTGAACAAGAATTGAGGAACTCGCTGATGGGCTGCCACCCCTTAGCACAGAAGCTTCAGCATTCCGAAGAGCATTCCCCCGGCCTGGATAGGATTCCATAAACACGACTTGTCCTGGAAATCAGGAGACTGGGGCCTATTCAAGACCCAGACCCATCCAGAAAGAGCTTTCAGATTTGTGAAAAGGCTAATGGCAAACAGTCAGAGAGGTAGATTCGTTTCGTCTCCTATACACAACCAGTCGAATCAAGGCTGGGAATTAGGGAAATATCAGCTCGGTCGTCGACCTTCTCATTATCCAGGGAGGCCAAACCCGAAATGGAGATTCTGGAGGTGTTTATACCGAGGAAGGTTCGGGTCTCAAAGGGCAAACCCTGGTTTATCTTCCGTCCAGATCAATGCATTTTGGATCTCAAGGTAGACCCTAGAGAATGGGGTTGGGAACAGACCTCAACCAAAACCACCTTGCCCCTAAATTATTACACGGCTAAATTGAGGTCACGTCCGGGGCTTAAGACTGCAGAACCAGACCCTGAAATGAACAAGAGGTCGAACTGAATCTTGAACACCAACAAATAGATACAGATTCTGTGGAAAAAGTGCCCATCCCGAAGACAAATCCTGGTTTATCTTCCACCCAGACAATGCATCTCGGAGCTTGTGGTGGACCCCAGAGAATGGGGTGGCGGACAACCGTCAACCAAAACCATCGTGCCTGTAACTGAATTCCGGTAACGCCCAGGGCTTAAACCACTATTAGACTGGCCCAGCCTTGCAGACAGTTTTTGTTGCCGCAAGCAAAACTCGGAGGCGCCCCTGGCAGCCTCCGGAGTGGTGCGGGTTTCATGCCGACACCCGCGGGCCTATGTGTGGTGTACTGGCGCTTTAAGACTAGAGATGCTGACCCTGAAATAAACGAGAGGTGGAAGCGAATCATGCAGACCAATGAAGAGATAAAAAAGACCCATCAAGAGTCTTATTAGCTCCTAGCATACACCGGTTTGCCAGTCAACCAATGGATCCATGAGAAACCTAAACACCCTGACCGGACACCACAGACATGTATAATGGGCACGGCTAACACACATTGTGGACACCATTCATTGCCTAGTTTCATGCCCTGAAGCGATCTGGTGTTGGGAATGAATCAAGAAGCTAGGGTCCTTGGGCCTAATTTCATGCCCTGAAGCGATCTGGTTTTGGGAAAGAATCAAGAAGCTATGGTCCTTGGGCCAGTGGCCCAGCTCAGCTGGTTGAGCACATAAGTGGTATTCAAGAGGTTGTGGGCTCGATTCCCCATGTCATCCATTCGGCTCCCCACGGCCCCTGGGGTGCACGTCGGGTTCACCACCTGAGATAGCTGGCTCGCCCCTTCTCGTGGGTCTTGGTAGGGGTAAGCTATGCCCTCTTCCATCCGCGCTGAGGGTTAGGTTCAGCCCTGAGGGGATAGGCTCAACCCTGAGGGGAGAGATAGGCTTGGATAAACTGGGGAGGAAAGCGTCCCGAAGACCCATAACCCTTAGAGTACTACGCTGGCGCGTATCTAGATATAACTGCAGCTAGATCCTTGGAGATCGGAAGGGAGCCAGTATGAGGTTGATACGTGCTTAGACATGTAGGTAGGTATGATTGAGAGAAGAATATAGCTTAGCTTTATAAAAAAATTGTAAAAGAAAAAAAAAGAAGCTATGGTCCTTCCTCTTTTCTTCCCCACCCCCCTTAAACCACCAGTACTTCCTAAAGTCGTGCCCGTTAACGCTACGCGATTTTAGGAAACGTACGGGCCACTACAGGAGCACCCAAATTCATCCATCTAGAAACGTTTCTACTCTATTTTTTTCCGCGGCCAATAGCTGGGCCAAGTACTGGTGGTTTAACACCCCTTGTCACCAGTCTGCTGTCTATCAACATCTCACCATCCTTGCGATGGGGCAAAATAAATTGGTTCCTGCAACTCAGAAAAGTCACGATGTGGATCATATGGGAACGGAGATGAGCACTTACTATTGGTGGGGAACTTATAGGGAAAGAGGGATCCTGAGCCCAGCTGACGGCCATGTTGCGGACGGAACTCTGCTGCTGATGGCTTTCAGACAAACACGTGGCTAAGAAGAGGCCAGGTAAGTTTGCGGATAGCCGAAAAACGTTTCTCAGAGGCTGCCTGCTACGAGGCAAAAGATTGCCACTGTTGAAGACAACATGCTCAGGTGGAGGAAGTGGGATCTGAGCTTAACACAGCCAATAGTCTTCCAATCAGGGGAGCTTAAGGCTGATTGTCGATCTATAATCAGCGGTCGATACGGCAGCACCCTATATTCTCAACTACCAGCTCTTATGTCAGTCATCTCTTCAGCATTCTTGGTTTACTCGCCTTCCTGACGGCGGCAACCTTGCTGTGTCTGCAAGGAACAGATGACGAGAATGGCAAACGGACAGGCGATCCTCGGTTAATGAGTAATCAATGCTGGTCAGGGATCCTTCCGCTTAGACGGAAGGATGCGTTGAGTGGGTAGTCGTGTATCATGATTTTTACTTGGCAGCGGAACGGAATCGGGTCGACGCTCCCCAGAATGGACAGGATTCCAGGACAATAAGGACCTGTATAGAAAAGAAAGAAGAACAAGGAATGCGCAAGGAACTGGAGCATTCTTTTCCTTGGGCATTCCTTTTCGACGTTTTGTTCCAAATAACGGGAGCACACTTTTAACTGGGGGTGTTTTTCAGCAAGGCCCCCAGGCCTATCTACAGTCACTCCCACAGTAAGGGAGAAACCTGTCATGCCCTCTGCTCAGAAACTGCAGTAACGTTCCAAGACAAGGCATGTGGCACACCCTCTGTTTCGGAAAGTGCATCCCAGCTTCCAAAAATGGGCGTTCTGCAGAGCTACAGGTTCCCAAAGCTATGCACGTTATTCCCTGACGATTGTCCGCATTTCGCACGGTTCAGAGGACACTTCAGTATTCAACGCAATACACAGGAAAACGCTGTCTCTCAACGCAAAGAAGTGTGCGTGCAGTCTCCTTCCCGTTCACCCCGCTCAAGGAACCTGAGTCTAGAAGGAGATGACTGGAATGGGTCAACCACTTCGCTGCCTGTAAGGGTCGGTTTCCCTCCGTCCCACGGCGAGTGATAAGGCTGTAAGTCAGTGGGGAAAGGACAATATCATACTTGCAACCATACCGCGCGCCGCATGGTCCGGTGTGCAGTACGGGGTCCAGTCCGGGACCTCCCCAGTCTGCCATACAGGCCCGTATCTGTACCATACAGGAGTGCACGGGGCCGCGCGTTGTTCAGTGCATCCATCTCCCGTCCGGAAGCTTTTTTTTTTTTTTTGTTTCCTGCAGATCCACCATTTGGCACCCTTGCTGGGGTCTTTCCCTGCGGCCCTGTCTTCATGGCAATGCTCGTCATTGTGACCTGCACACATGTAGAACCGTTGAACAGAAGCCAGGAAATCAGCCTTGTCCTGCATCCACGCTGAAAACACCCCCTATCTCCCCCC